TTTTTTTTTTGTATCTCATGAAAAAATTTCTTTAAAAACAATTGGTAAATTATTTTAATAGCATAGTAAAATAACTTTAGAATCTTATAAACAATTGTCCTTTTAATAATAATAATAATCAAACTATTATCTAATGATAATAAACAATTGTTCATAATAATAAAATCGTTTAATTAATTTCCTAATGATCAAATTTTTGAAAATGTAACATATTCATTATCTAGAATTTTAATATTAAATTCTCAAGTATTACTTATAATATTTTATGTACATCTGTGCATGTGCACAAGATATTTACTAGTAAATATAAACTATTGAACTTACATATTAATTACTAATTTACTATATTGATTGCAATAATGTAAATATTGCAATTTTGAATGATTTTGGCAAGCAAAACAGATGAATGAATCTTGAAACTATTATTATATCAATTGTGTATGAAATTTTAAGTGGTTTTATTAACTAACTTCAATTAAAAATCCTTAATGAGCTAAAAAAAGATAATATTATTAAACAAATAGTTTATTTTTTGTTTTTTGATATGTATAAAATTTTAATATATCTTTGACTGTTACTATATGAATAGTTAGTAGTATATATTATGTAATAAAATAAATAAAAAATAATTATTTGATCAATACAAAATGGGATGGTTTCTTTCGAAAATTAGTTGAACAAATGAGTGGAAGAAAATGTTTTTGCATTATTCTAGCCCATAATTATATATATTAGTACTCAATTGTGCCACATATAAAAATAAAAGTATCATAAGTCATATGTATGGATATTTTATTTAGAATATTCAGTTATATAGAGACATATTTGATATCACATTTAATAATTTAGTAATTAGTAAAAATGAACCATATCACTATAAATTATTTTACTTATATATGAATCACTATATAAATTACATAAAGTAATAAATAATGTATATTGTACAGATTTAAAAGATTGTAATCCATTAGTTGGTAAATATATTAAATTATTATTATTATTATTATTATTATTATTATTATTATTATTATTATTATTATTATTATTATTATTATTATTAATACTATTGTTATTGTTCTTGTTGTTGTTGTTGACACAACTTTAAAGAGTGTTATGTCACTAATACCAGTTAGTTATCTAAAAATTGCTTAAATATGTAAAAGGGTAAAACTATATATTCATTTAAAATAAATACTTTCAAGAAAAAAGCCGTACTATAATATTTTTATAAGTGCATAACTTTAATAAATCTTTTAATTTGAATTTGCAATTGATTGATATTAATAGTGCTGACGGTAGACATCCACCATAATAAAACGATGATTGAATCGCAGGATTATGAAGATTATAATGGTCTTTCTATAGCAAATAAGAAAATTATTAATATTAATGGAAAACGTATATATGCAAAATTATGAAACTTAAAAAAAAAAAAAAAATGGCACAGTTGGATTGTCGGTTATGCAAGAAATCAAAAAAAGAAACATATACATATTACTATTATGTACTTCCTCCTATTCATTATAAATGTCGTTTTAACTTTTTTGATTCATCCATTTTGTTATGTATCTAGACATTAATATGTCTAGATACATAACAAAATGGATAAATCACAAAAGTCAAAACGACATTTATAATGAACAGGAGGTAGTATAATTTTTTTAATATTGGTTGTTGTTTTTATGGGCCTCAAGGGTTGAATTTATACAGAAAAAAAAAGTAGAAAGGTCATCGTGTCTATAAGTCAACTAAAGGCGTAGGGGTGTGACACGTGTCCTCATGCAAAAGTTTGTCTTTTGATGATTGGATCGGTTAGACAGTGACTTTATCAATTTACTTCTCGGTTTCTGTTCAAATTGCAGAGAGATTGATAAATTAGATTGGAAGGAATAGAAAAAGATGAACTCCCAAGCATGAATATTGATCAACATAACATCGATCGGTAGTCTGGCTTCTTGGGTTGTTTTCGTACCTGATCAGTTTTCGTCGCAAATAGACCCAATGGTTGCATTATCTGGCTTAATGGGATGATCAGTGTACATGTAATTTTTATGTACAACAAGGAGGCCACCAGGTTTCCAAGTGTATAAGGGATCGACCAATATACCTGGAAAGTTGTTTGCTGATTTTGAATTTGTATGCCTGTCTCTTTACATGATCGTCGACACTTTCAACAGGATGGTGTCAATTACATTGGTAGGAGATGGGACGTGGTAAGGCGCCTTTTTTATGAGAATATTAAATGAGGTGCGTATGTGCAACGTCCCGTTGTTTTTCAAGAAAATATCTCAAGTTTCCAAAAATAAGAATAATTTTTTTTTTTGAAAAATCATTTTCCAATTTCAAAATTATTTAACAGACATTATTCAAATCAAACTTCATTTCTACTTAGCTTAAGGCACAACCTAAGCCTTTGTGAAAAACCATCCCAAGACCACACAACCATAAATGATCAAAACGAGACATAATACAACATAATAAGAAGTCTAGAATCATAATCATATCAAAGTCAGTTCACAATCAGCTCAAAAGTCTCCAAAACCAATCATACATAAGTTTTGATAAACATAACAAGTGGAAGCAGTTAAACATAATAAAAGACCACACTCGTCCGGCATATGCCACGACCACCATCTCAACCTGAAAAAAGATGGAAATAATGGAGGCGAGCGAACAATAAGCTCAGCGTGCGAAATACCATGCAATATATGCAATATGATAACTTAAATCATAATCGCTACATGAACACAAATCACTACGTTTACCTTTTATATGAGACTACGCTCATGTGTACACACCTTTACCGTAGGCATAACCCATCGACAAGAGCGAAAACACCGACATCATCTATCGGGGGAAAAAATCTCATTAGGCAAAAAATATGAAAATCACAGGCATAAACCATCGACGAGAGAACCTCTCATAGACTAGGTGTTCACAGTGAAATTTATCAACACCAACCTATTCGGAAAGATAGTGTAGCACCTTGCCTTACTAGCTTTGAAAAATCAAAGTAAAATTTTTGTTTTTATTTTCTAAAGATCCTGCGAGCTGGTTTTCGAAAATACTATCTTGTTGCGGGAATGCTACAAATAAAAAACTTGCTTAACTTACTCACAGAAATAAATAAAACATGCAACCAATTAATCCACTACGAAGAATGGAATCACACTTGCAGTCTGATAGTCTCGCACTGTATAGATAGCAGAAGCATAAAACTAGGAAACATACATATTACACGCATAAATAATAATACTGGTTCATGAATTAAGGACATAAAGTGCGTGTATAAAAATGTCCTCGGCTCATGACCATATTAGCCACGTCTGCTCAGCTCACCCGACACGCTAGACTCCGTCACCTGAAATAGGAAAGGACTGTGGGAGTGTGAGCACAGATCTGTGTGCTCGTGGGAGACTGGAACTGAAATAATCTCAACTGTAAACATAAACTTAAAAGCATCATATAATAAATAAGTTGTTATGTACTGGTAACTTTTCTTAAATTTTAACTGTGGTCAAAAGACCCTCGGCCCTCGGCCGCTCCGAAACTAAAACTGATATCTGATACCGGTCTGATCTCGCGACATAAGTCACGTAACTGATAACTGAACATCTGTCGGCACAAACTAATACCGGAATCTGCCGGCACAAACTAATACCGGACACCATGTGCACACTCTTGTGGGCAGATTAGGCCACTAGAACCCAGAATGGACCGGCGACCATTCCGAGCGGATACTGATAATACATACCTTAACATGGTAGCGTAATTATAATAAATGTAGTACTTAGTCTGAGTCCCCACCTGAACTGCTGAAACTGAAGGTAGTGCTGATGCCTGATCAAACTGAAAATAATATAAACAATTACTACTGACTATGCTCAGACTGATAAATTAACTGATCAATTATGTTAAGATGCTCTACTGAACCTGACATGATATTCAGATTTAATCGGTATAACTGAAACCGGTTAAATACGAAATTGAACTGATATTAATTAACTGAATTGAACTGGGCCCGAAATTTTAACTGAAAGTGACACTGAAATCATGAACCGGGTTTGAAACTGAAAAATACTGACTGAACCGGTCCAGCCGGTCTGAACCGGTCTGGACCGGACTGCCGGTCCGCTGAAGCGGGCA